TAAGGGTTTATAATCTGTATTGTTATTTGGGAATGTAAAGATATAATAGATTTTGGTTTCAGTTCAGTGAAAGCAATTTATTTTTTCAATCTGTCAGCGAGTACTTTGCAACAGTGAACTAAATAATTTTTCTCTTATTTTCTCATGGGACATGGATGTAGCTGGCTGACCAGCATTTATTGCCTGTCTCTAGTGGCCCTCAAGAAGTTGGTGGTGAGCTGCAATGTCGAACTGTTGCAATCCATATGCTGTAGGCAGACTCACCACACCCTTATGGAGGGAATTCTGGGATTTTGATCCAGCAACACTAAAGGAAAGGCAATATATTTCCAAGTCAGGATGGTGAGTGGCTTGTAGGGTAACTTGCAGGTGATAGTGTTTCCATGTATCAGCTGCCCTAGTACTTCCACATGGAACTGGTTGTGCGTTTGGCAGGTTCTGTCTGAAGATCTTTCGTGAATTGCAGCAGCGCATCTTGTAGATAGCAGCAGCAGTGTGAACTGAGCATCGCTGGTGGAGGGAGTGGATATTTTTGGATGTGGTGCCAACTAAATGGGCTGCTTTGTCCTGATAGTATCAAACTTCTTAGGTATTGTTGGAGCTGCACCCATCCAGGCAAGTGGGGAGTATCCCATCACACTCCTGACTTGTGCCATGTAAGATGGCTTTGAGGAGTCAAGAGGTGAGTTATTCGCTGCAGTATTCTTAGCCTCTGATCTGCTTTTGTAGACACTGTACTTATGTGGCAAGTCCACTTGAGATTCTGGTCTATGGTAACCCCTAGATAGTGGGGGAATTCAGTGATGGTAACACCATTGAATGTCAAGGGATGGTGGTTAAATTGTCTCTTCTTGATGATGGTCATATCTTGCCACTTGTCAGCCTAAGCCTGAATGTTGTCCAGATCTTGTTGCATTTGAACACAGACTGCTTCAGTATCCGAGGAGTCGTGAATAATGCTAAACATTGTGCAATCATTGGCGAACATCCCCACTTCTAGCCTTTATGATGGTGGGCAAGTTGTTAATGAAGCAGCTGAAAATGATTGAGTCTAGGACACTTACCCTGAGGAGCTCCTGCAGAGATGTCCTGGAACTGAGATGATTGACCTCTAACAACCACAACCATCTTCCTGTCTGCCAGGTATGACTTCACACAGTGGAGAGTTAGCCCCATGATGCCCATTGATTCAAGTTTAGGCTGCTTGATGTCATACTTGGTCGAATGCAGCCTTGATGTCAAGTGCTGTCACACTCCCCTCACCTCTGGAATTCAGCTCTTTGGCCCATATTTGAACCAAAATTATAATGAGGTCACAAGCTGAGTGACCCTGGCGGAACCCAAACTGGGCTTAACTGAGCAGGTGGTGCTGTTTGACAGCTCTATTGATGACACCTTCCATGGGGCGGTAGTTGGCTGGGTTGGATTTGACCTGCTTTTTGTGTACGGAACATACCTGGGCAATTTTCCACATTGTTGGGTAGATGCCAGTGTTATGACCGTTCTGGAAGAGCTTGGCTAGGGAAATGGCAAGTTCTCATAGATCATAGGATCCCTGCAGTGTGGAAACAGGCCCTTTTGGCCCAACAAGTCCACACGGACCCTCAGACATCCCATCCATGCCCATCCCCATATAACCCACCTAATCTACACATCCCTGAACACTACGGGCAGTTTAGCATGGCCAATCTACCTAGCCTGCACATCTTTGGACTGCAGGAGGAAACCAACGCAGATACAGGGAGAATGTGCAAACTCCACACAGACAGTCACCCGAAGATGGAAGTGAACCCAGATCCCTGGTGCTGTGAGGCAGCAGTGCTAACCACTGAGCCGCCATGCTGCCCCAAGTCTGGAGCACAAGTCTTCAACACTATTGCCAGAATGTTGTCAGGGCCCATAGTGTTCGCAGTATCCGGTGCCTCTAGCCATTTCTTGATATCACATGGAGTGAATTGAATTGGCTGAAGTCTGGTAACTGTGATGCTGGGGGCCACTGGAGGAAGCCGAGATAGATCATCCACTTGGCATTTCTGGCTGAAGACTGCTATGAATGCTTCAGCCTTATCTTATGTACTGATGTCCTGGGCTCTTCTATCATTTGAGGATGGGGATATTTGTGGAGCCTCCTCTTCCAGTGAGTTGTTGAATCGACACCATCATTCACAACTGGATGTGGCAGGCTTGCAGAAGCTTAGATCTGATCTATTAGTTGTGAGATCGCTTAGTTCTATCTATCACTTGCTGCTCATGCTTATGTTTGGTGTGCAAGTAGTCCTGAAAACAACAAATGCTGGAGATAACAGCTGGTCAGGCAGCACCCATGGAGAGAGAGCAAGCTAAAGTTTTGCATCTACATGACTCTTCAGAGCTGAAGTGAAGTGTGCAGGGGGAGCATTTATGCTAATAGTGGGGGGGGCTGGAGGTCAGTGTGTGGGTGGTGCAGTGTGGAATGCTGGTGGAGAACAGATGTTGATAATTCAGATTAAGTGATCAGAATGTGAAAATGACATAACAATGGTGTATCCAACTGCTATACTTGAAAGAGAAGACACTCCCATGCGGGTAGGGGGAGGGGAGAGAGGTCATGGTGACAAAGAATGTAACAAGTAAAGCTAAAAGAAAGGGAAGAGATGAGAGTTGGTTCATAATTTGAAGGTGTTGAAATCGATATTAAGTCCAGGAGGCTGTAAAGTGCCTAGTCTGAAGATGAGATGTTGTTGTTCCAGTTTGTGCTGTGATTCACTGGACCACTGCAGCAAGCCAAGGACAGACAAGTGGGCATGCGAGTAGGACGCTGTTTTAAAATAACCAGCTACAGGAAGCTCGGGGTCATGCTTGCGCACAGACCACAGGTATTCTGCAAAGTAGTCATGCAGTCTGTGTTTGGTTTCTCCAATGGAGAGTAGGCCACATTGGGTGCAGCAACTACAGTACACAAAATTGGAAGAGGAACAGGTGAAATGCTGCTTCACCTGGAAAGACTGCTTAGGACCTTGGATGGTGAGCAGGGAGGAGGTGAAGGGAGAGGTGTTGCACCTTCTGTGGTTATGTGGGAAGGTACTGTGGGAAATGGGTGTAGTGTTGGTGGTCTTGAAATGAACTAGGGTGTTCCGCAGGGTACAATCCCTGCGAAATGCAGATGGGGGAAGTGAAGGGAAGATATACTTGATGGTGGCATTCTGCTGGAGTTGTTTGAAATGACAGTGTGATCCTTTGAATGCAGAGGCTGGTAGGATGAAAAATGAGGACAAGGGGGACCTGATTATGCTATTGTGAGAGATGGGAAGGGGCAAGGCGGAAGCACGGGTGATAGGTTGGATGTGGTTGAGGGCCCTGCCAACCACTGTGGGTGGGAAAGCCCGGTTGTGGAAGAAGCAAGCCATGTCAGCACTGCTGTTTTGGAAGATGGCATCATCCAAACAGATGTGACATAGGTGAAGGAACTAGGAGAATGGGATGGAGTCCTTGCAGGACATGGGGTGTGAAGAGCTGCAGTGAAGGTAGCTATGGGAGTCCGTGGCTTTGTACTGGATGGCAGTAGACAGTTTATTTCCTGAAATGGAGACATAGAGGCCAAGGAATGGAAGGGAACTATCGGAAATGGATGATGTGATGGAGGGGGGAATTGAAGGCAAAATGATAAAATTTTTCAAGATCCTGGCAGGAGCATGAAGTGGCACCAAATCAGTTGTCGAGGGGGTCAATGTAGGGCTGGAACAAGGATTGTTCCATATGCCCCATAAAGGGGCAGGCATAACTGGATCCCATGAGGGTGCCCATAGTCACTCCTTTATTTGGCAGAAATGAGCTGAATTAAAGGAGAAATTGTTCAGTGAGAGAACAAGTTCAGCCAGGCAGAGGACAGTGGTGGCAGATGGGGAATGTTCAGGCCTCTGGTCAAGGATGAAGCTGAGGGCTCACTGACTGCCCTGGTGGTGATGGAGGGATTAACATTCATGGTGAACAGGAGGCAGCTTTGGCCAGGGAACTGGAAATTGTCAATAGGGTGGGGGGCATCAGAGGAATCGCAGATGTAAGTGGGCAGAGTCTGGACAAGTTGAGAGGATGGAGTCAAGGTAGGAGGAAATGAGCTTGGTGGGGCAGGAACAGGCTGATATGATGGATCTACTGGAGCAGTCTGGTTTGTGGACTTTGGGAAGGAGATAGAAGCGGGCTGTCCGGTGTTGGGAGACTAAGTTTGGAGGCAGTGGGTGGAAGATCTCCAGAGGTAATGAGGTTGGTGACAGTCCTGGTAACAATGGCTTGATGTTAGGATGTTTCAGTACAGATTCCAGCAACTGCACGAATTTGCTCCTGCAAATAGTCCTGTTTGGTAGCTACACCAGCTTGACATCTCATTTTAGATATGCCTGGTGTTGCTCATGGCATGCCCTCCTGCATTTCCATTGAATCAGGATTCATTCCTTGGCTTGACATTTGCATCAAAATGGGAGCATAATAATGTAATCATGATTTCCTTTTCATAATCCATGTTAACTATATTTGATCCTATTTGTTTTTCCGCTATTAAATCTTTTGGAATGGACTCATGCATGTTCCCCGCTACTGATATCAGACTAACTAATCTATAATTCCCAATTTTTCTGTTGAAATATTTTTAATATTGAATAGTTAATAAGTGGAATAAGACTGCAAATGAAGGAATTGAGTATGAACTTGAGATAAACAGCTATTGAAAACGTATGCATTGTATAGAGTTTAAAAATGTTTATGTTGCAGTTAAAATTAGAACACATGCAAAATCTCTAACTTAAAACAATTATCACAGAAGAACGAGTAGTCCATCATACTCTGCATTAATGAATGGTAGCTTGTCATAAAATTGTATACATCCATAACTACTGTGTTTTGCATTTCTCATTACATGCTTATCATGTACATCGCTGCCATGTGGTTATTAAATTCACTAGTGAACATGTTGAAAAATATTAAGTTAACATTTTCAACTAACTAGTTTATTTTTCTGTTGTAGAATCTGTGTATGATCTGCTGCCAAAAGAGCTGCAGCTTCCCACTGGTGAGATCAGTATTGCATCAATGAGTCAGAAAAGTGGTGGTGAGGCAACGTCTCCTCCTTCAGCAGCAGTTGCTCCTGGTATGCAGTTCTAATTTAATTTCCCTTTGCTTTTTTAGTTGTGACATGATTGCTGATATTGTTTAAGATACAAGCTTAGGGATCACAAGGAATTATTGTTCTAATCACCAACATGATTTATTGGGAAAAAGGGGATGTGGATGTGGATGTGGTGTGTTGGAAGCATGGCTCAGTGCAGGACTAAATTATCTTGGTCTCTAAAATAGGCAGTTGTTTCAATGAGTATTTATTGGGCTTTTATAGTTGCTTCATAAGCAGTCTGCTCAGAGATGTTATTACACATCTTTTGGACCAGGTGGGACTTGAACCTGGCCCTCCAGGCCCAGGGGTAGGAACTCTTACTGCTAAACCACAAGCATTCTTAATTGTGCAGTTATATATAGGCGGTCCCCAATTTACAAATGTCCAACTTACGAACATTTGTACTTAGGAACACGATCCTATACGGGGATGTAATTTTCAAGATCTGAAATACATACTTATGAATGGCTATTGTATGTTGTATGCATTGTGTTCTGACTTACATACAAATCAACTTGCATACAGATTCAAGAATAGAACCTGTTTGCAACCAACTACATACTTACAGAATCTTGTTGATAAGAGTTGTTTTTAAGCTTAATTTGAAATAACCTTTAATTTTAATATTAACCAGAAATAGCCATAGTTATTCAGTGGTGGTAAATGACATACAATTGTGTTTGATTTATTTTTATGAATATTGTTCAAATTTTTAACATATCTTAGCATTATGTGTTGCGTGTTTTGTCTGTCCTTTTAACTCCAACTTGTTATGAAACATGCTTAAATGATACTAAATTCTCGGAAAAATATCATATTTAAACTTCTGTAACTAATATCTTATCTGTGTTTTTAATTTACTATGATAATGTGAATGTCTTTTAGGAAGTCTGAATTTTGAATTGATTCTGTCAACGAATATAATTTATTTACATTTCAGCCTGCCCACAATACAATGGCTTTTAATAAACTAATATTCAAAGCCAATATTTTGCAACAGTATTGTAGAATAAAGTATCAATTTATAAGAGAATATTATTTGGCTGGAAAGTGAGCAATAATTTGCAATTGTTATATGGCATTTGTGCCCTGTCTTTTTGCTCCACCAGTCTACTCTGCTAATTTCTTCTCCCCTCACCTCCCCCCATGCCCCCCACTAGTTTTGGCACTGAATGTTTATGCTCAATTAAATTGTGTCCTTTTCATTTTGCGTGGTTTGCATATTTTTTCTGTCTGCACTTTTTCATCTTGTTTGGTATCTCCCTTGGTTTGCCACTCACTCTTTCCTGTTCTCCCTCTCACTAGCTCCTGTTCTCATCTCACTCTCTGTTTCTTGCTCTCTCTCGCTCTCTGTCTCTCGCTACCTCCACTTTTCTCACTCTCTCCTTCGGTCCTGCTCTTCCCCTCCTCTCTCTCTCGCTCTCTTGCTCTCTCGCTCTCGCTCTCTCGCTCTCGCTCTCTCGCTCTCTCGCTCTCTCGCTCTCTCGCTCTCGCTCTCTCGCTCTCGCTCTCTCTCTCTCTCCTGTTTTCTTGCTTTCATTCTCATGGGCTTGTGCTCACCCCTTCTCCCCATTCTCTCTCTCTCGCTCTCTCCCCGCGCTCTCTCTCTCTCTGTCTCTGTCTCTCCCCTGTTGTTGTTCTTCTCCTCTCTCGCTCTAGTTTTCTCTTTCTGTTTCACTTGCTCAGGCCTGTCTTTTCTCTCTCTGTTTCCCCCACATCTCTTCTTGTTTCTGGTCTTCCACATGTTGTTCTGTCGCACTACATCCTTCTCTAGTTTTTTTCCTTTTGTATCATTGTGTATGAAGACTTGAGGGCACACTCAAATTTATGACTCAAATGTGTGTGCAAGAATTAGTGCACTTCCCCCTTGTACAAGAGCATAGATCTCTTGCGTATCGTCCAAATCTTGATCTCAATTCATAAATTAATAAATTATTTATTAACAGGAGATAGAGTGCAAGAACAAAAACGTTATACTGAACTTCCGTAAGACAGTAGTTAGACCTCAACTAGAGTATTGTCCACAGTTCTCCATGCCACACTTCAGGAAGGCAGTGAATGCATTAGAGTGAGAGCAGAAGAGGTCTACAAGAATGGATCCAGGGATGAGGCAATTGAGTTATGAGGAAAGTTTAAATAAAGGGTGGTAGTGGAGGCTTGCTTTTCTGACTGGAGGCCTGTGACCAGTGGTGTCCTACAAGGATTGGTACTGGGTCCACTGCTTTTTATCATTTGTATAAATGATTTGGATGTGAACGTAGGAGGTACGGTTGCTCAGTTTGCCGAAGACACCAAATTTGGTGGTGTCGTGGATAGCCAAGAAGGTTACGTCAAGTACTACGGGACCTTTATCAGATGGACCGTTGGGCTGCGGAGTGGCAGGGGAATTTAATTTAGATAAATGTGGGATCTGCATTTTGGAAAGGCAAATCAGAGTAGGACTTATAAACTTAATGGTAAGGTCCTGCAGAGTGATCCTAAACAAAGAGACCTTGGAGTGCAGGTTCGTAGTCTTTTGAAAGTAGAGTTGCAGGTAGACTGAATAGTGAAGAAGGTGTTTGGTACACTTGCCTTTATTGGTCAGCACATTGAGTATTGGAGTTGAGAGGTCATGCTGTGGCTGTACAGGACATTGGTTAGGCTACTTTTGGAATACTGCACTCGGTTCTGGTCTCCCTGCTATACAAAGGATGTTATGGAATTTGAAAGGGTTCAGAAAAGAATAACAGGGATGTTGCCAGGATTGGAGGGTTTGAATTACATGGAGAGGCTGAATAGGCTGGAGCTATTTTCACTGGAGCATCGGAGGCTGAGTGGCGACCTTTATAGAGGTTTATAAAATCATGGGGGGTACGGATAGGGTAAATAGGCAAGGTCTTTTCCCTGGGGTGGAGGAGTCCAAAACTAGAGGGCATAGGTTTAAGGTAAGAGGAGAAAGATTTAAAACGAACCTAAGGGACAACTTCTTCATGCAGATGGTGTTGCGTGTATGGAATGAGCTGCCAGAGGAAGTGGTGGAGGCTGGTACAATTACAACAATTAAAAGGCATCTGGATGGCTATATGAATAGGAAGGGTTTACAGGCATATCGACCAAATGCTGACAAATGTGTCTAGATTAATTTAAGATATGTGGTCGGCATGTATGAGTTGGACTGAAGGGTCTGTTTCTATGTTGTACAGCTCTATGACTCTATAACTTTGGATTGTTTTCTTCAGAGAGAAAGCTAAGATGTTTGATAGAAGTCCTCAAAATCATGAATCTGGGCAGAATAGGTAGGGAGAAACTGTTCCCACAAGTGACATGATTGAGATGAAGTGGACACAAAATTTAAATGATCTGCAAAAGAAACGAATATACTGAGGGAAAAAAAAATGTTCACGCACTGAGTAGTTAGAGTATATAATGCACTGCCTGGAAGTTGGAGGCAGGCTCAATTGATACAAGCAGGAGGGTATTATTTAATGAGTATTTGAAAAGAATTGATTTGTAGGATTATGAGAACGAGGTAGTACAGTGGCACTGAGTCATAATATTCATTTGGAGAGCTGATGCAGATACAGTGGGCTAAATGACTTCCTTCTGCACTATAATGATTGTGAGATTAAGAGAGCAAATATCTATTCTGATGTCTTCTACACTGAATGACTTTACGTAATCTTGAACAGCAAACAAATTAGTTGAGAAACCTAGGGGAAGGAGGTTGCACCAGAGAGAAGCAGATTTTGCAGGTTGGGAAGCAAAGGCAGGTCTGGCACTCCAGGAAGCAAATTTCAGAAGGGGATGATAAGCCAAAACCTTGGTTTGGTCAATTGTCTTACAAGTAGAATGATGTTCTGTTTTGGAAGTCACTGGGTATTTTACAAGGTATGGGAAGACCTGAACAAGGAATACTTGTGGGAGTGGACCAAAAGACACTCGCTCTGATTTTCATCAATTCAGTGCTACAATTGGGATACCTTTTTATTTAATGAAACATTTCTCATGTTTATTTGAAATGCTTCACCTATTGTTGGCTAAACCAATAAACCGATTGGTTTCTAATTGGCACAAACAGTGCAATGTAATTTTGAACCAAGTCACTTAAAACAAGTCTCGGCAAAACTTAATTTCGCCAAAGCATGGGTGTTGTAATGTCTTCATTGTGCTTGGAGTTTGAGGTAAAGTTAGCTTCAACAAGCTTTGGCTTTGTTGACTGTGTTGAAGCTTTCTGTAATGTCAGCCTTAGTGTAATATCTGCAGCTTGATAAGACAGGAAGAACACTATTTCCATACATCCTGTGAGATAATTATCGGTGAGAATTGTGAATAGAGTGCCTGTCTGGAATTGCAGTATTTTTAAGCCAGCTCTTTAATAACATCCTGTGTCTGTTTTATTAAAATTGCCTTTTAAGAAGTTCAACATGAACCTAACTGATGACATTTTTGGTCAGAATTCTGCTTTTGTCCTGATGTTCTCTTCTGTATTTGCATGTTGCTACCAACAAGTGAACTCCACATCCTGGTCTATACCATAATTAGTTACATTTTACTTATAGACAGAAATACTTTAAGATGCTTTGTAGCATAACAGAAGTACAAGAAATTTCAAGGTGTCTTGAAATAAGTTAATATGTATTGATAAAGAATGACTACTGTTAGAGACAGAAACACAACACAAAATTTTTAATTCCCATGATTCCTTCTGCACATTTGAGACAAATACCTATGGTGTAATAAAAACAAATTGCTGGAAAAGCTGAGCAGGTCTGGCAGCATCTGTGAAGAGAAATCAAAGTTAATGTTTTGGGTGTGGTGACCTTCAGGCAGAAGGAACTATTCTGAGGAAGGGTCACCAGACCCGAAACGTTAACTTTGATTTCTCTTCACAGATGCTGTCAGACCTGCTGAGCTTTTCCAGCAATTTCTGTTTTGGCACGTATAAACATAATTTGAGATTTCCTAGTTCATAAAAGCACGTTTCGACAAGGATGATCGGA